GTTTGATCTGCCGGGGGTTGCTCTGCTTCCGTCGGGACATGCCTGCTGTGCGGCTGGTCAGTGAATCCAGGTGTAGGGCAGAAAGATCGATAGATGTTGGTTCATCCAAGCAGTCGGGATTTATTTGTCTGATGGAAATTCAGAAAGAAGAAAAAAGCTACTTTTTTACGCACAAGTCTATCGTTCCGCCTGTCTTTCCTTTATCTTTTCCGTCTCTCTGGCTCTGTATCTGACTTTCTCTCCTTCACACACAAACATAAACGCGCTCACACACTCACACACACACGCACGCCCTCCCTCTCTCTGTCTCTCCCTCACTCTTCCTCAGCACCGGTTTCCGCGTCGAGGCTGCGCTCCGCAGTGATGTGCACGGACTGACTAGGGAGGTGAAAGCGGTTCGCGCTTTTGTTTGAAGATAAGGTTTGTTCCTCCCCGGGCACCGTAGCCACGGCTTCGTGAACTTCACTTGATCCACAATTAGTTTTACTTCCACTTATTAATTAGCCCCTAATGAGCGCTGTTGGGTTAAAAGCGGAGATAGAGAAAAACTGGATCTCCGTGCGTTAATAAAACAACTAGGGTAAACATATTCCTAATACGTTTCCTCCAAAATTATTATTATTATTATATTATTATTATTATTATTATTATTATTATTATTATTATTTCAACGTGTTTTTATCCAATTCCTTGTCGGTTTTTCTTTTATTTCTATCATTTCGACAATAAAGGGTGTTTATTTAAAGTCCATCCCTTTCCTGTAGCATGTCACTGTATATCTGCGTCACTGAAAAACACCAGGATTGTTTTACTTTCCCACAATGCACTCTGAGAGCAGATTCAAACACTAACCTCTGTAAAAAAACAGTCACAAATTTTTAAGTACATCTAGTTTATAAATATATTTCCTGAAATCGGTTATCTAAATGATGTTCAATGTAAAATGAGCCCAAATAGTAACTTTATTTATTGATAAATATTTCTGTGGAATAGTTCTGATGTTCTTTTTTTTTTGTTGATATTGAGGAAACACATAGAATGGTTTTATGAAAAAAATCGAGGAGTGAGAGATTAGAGGAGAGGTTTGAAATAGTTCAGAATTTTGACTGCCATTTTCTGAAGAGTTGCCCAAACTGGAAATCACTCTCTTCAATTAGCCAGTTGGACTGCCAAGGAAGACAAGCAAGTGGCCTGTGAAATTATCTTGTCACCCAATTCCACAACTTTGGATTGGAGTCTGAAACTACAGAATAATTTATGTGGCAGGAGGATCAGCATGCTTCACCTTGAGGAGAGCGTTCGCCATGTGAGTCTCTTTAATGTGTCTCCTCCATTTGTTCTTGTTCATAAAAGTTTATTTACTTCTTCTTGTCTCTCTTCCCCACGTTGGCTTGGATCCATATGTGGTGATGTCATGGGACTTCAACATTTTGTCAAACTGTGGGAGAGTGATGATCAGTTTAAACAAAAGGTGACACAATAAACCTACAAATTCCAGTGAAATGTGTGCAGCAGTCACTAAGAGGAGCGTGTTAACCAGACACGAACAGCGTCTCCCAGCTATATCAGGAGTCCTGTACCAAAATCAATAATGATTTGTGGTGAGAGCAACAACACGGAGTGAGAGGAGAGTCAAATTGCCAGCTCCAGATTAATTTAACGCCACTCCTAAATCCTCTGAGACTGAGGTGGGGTCCATTGCTGCTGTTTCTGAGCCCCAGTGGCTTGTTTGAAGCCTTCTTTGATTGGCAGCTACAAATCTGCAAGAGGAAGAGAAAGCTTTTCCCCCTACTGCTCAGACCAGATGGTTGTGATAATTAACATGATACTGATTCCATCGCAAGGGAAATCACTGACACAGGGTTGGTCTTATTAATAGGTGAAGGTCTACTGTATGCTGCGGAGACACTGTGCAGTGTGCTCATGTAATCTGATTACAGGGGGAAAGGTTGATTTAATGTGCTAAATCATCTGATTAGAGTTGCCAAGTCACATTTGGGGAACACTGTTCAGTACTGGGGCGGTGACTCTGGATTTTACCAGATCCAGGCTTGAGACAATATGTTTTATCTGATTAATGGTTGCCTTGCAGCAAGAAGGTCGTAGGTTTGAATCCCAGCTGTTGTCTTTTAGGAATTAGCAAGTTCTCCTCATGCATATGTGAGCTTTCTCTGTGCCCTCCGGTTTCTCCCACAAACTAAAAACATGCATAAGTCTGTAAAAGACTTTGGATAAAAGCAAAACACAAAAACATAATAAGCACATTATCTATGAATAAACAACTTCCTGAATTATTTCTAAACACACGTGTGATATATTTTTGTTTTAACACTTTTTTTCTAATAATAATAATAATAATAATCACAATAAACCATCTTCTTTATTAAATTGAAACTTATCGGTGTCCCAAAACCAATGCTGTGTTTTATACTAACTTACATATTAGGGAAATCTTTAAAATAAAAGTAATGTGAAAATGTATCAAATGACAAAAATAAAATAAAAAGTGATTCAGGTGTTACAAAATCCCCAAAACGTACTCACTATATCAATATATTTTTCTATGTTTGTTTTATTTATTTAACACTTTCACAGTATAAATATATCTTACTATACGAGTTTAAATACTGAATCTTTTCTTTTAATAAATTGCATTTGAAAATTCCTGAAGGCAAAGTTTCATTAATAATTTTAAAAAAATTGAAAGTTGTGGCAAACACTCAAAAATAGATTACCATACTTATCTGAAATACCAACAATTTGTTATACTTTGTCTGAATTTGGGACCAAAGTCCAGAGTAAATTGTACAGATGCACAGGCAATTTGTGTGAACATTTAATTTTAATGTACTTTTGTATTTATTCAGACTTTTATGTGGTTTAATGAAAAATGAAGTTGAGCAGACTTTTTGATGCTTTATTCTAAATCAATTAGATAATTGAGATGCAGAAAAGATTGATAATTTTTTTTACAACAACAAACAGAACACCGTTTTGACGCAAGTCAAGTTTCATCCACTGTGTTTTTCATCCGTCCAGCAGCTGCATCTTTAGAAAAATATCTGTTAAACAGTGTTCTCTCAGAATCGTGTTCATTTTATCTGACTCTGAGTTGTTTTAATGTGTTGCTGCAGCCTCACCCTGTTCAAGTGAACTGCTGTGCTGACTGAGTAATATCACAGGAGGGCTACTGTGACAAATTACTGGGTTGATTTCTTTAAGGACTCCCATGTCCGGTGGCGTTGGGAAATGGAAGCCACCGTGTGGACAGCAGCAGCTCACCCCTTTAAGAGCAGCCTCAGCAGCTCAGCTCGCCTGCTGCCATCTTACCCTCTGGCTGTTGGGGATTGGGTTGTCTTGTGAAGAGGTCAGGTGTGTGTGCGCGTGCATGTGTGTGTGTGTGTGTGTCTGTGTGTGTGTGTGTGTGTGTGTGTCTGTGTGTGTGTGTGTGTGTGAAGGGGAATGGGGTTGTTGAGTTTGGGGTGACGCATATATGACTCGGTCATCGGGAGAAAGGCAGAGCAGGACAAACACTTTCAGGATGTCCTTCTCATTGATTTGCAGCTAGAACTTCAGTGAGGTTGATTTGATTCAGGTTTGGGAGAAGCGTTGCATTGTGGGATCAAAATGCAAAAAAATTAAAAATAAATCATTAAATGTGACTTCTGTTAGCTATAAAATAGTTTCTGATGTCTGACTGGAGAAAGTTGCCAGTTGTGGCTGAATGCTCCCCTTCCTCAGCACCCCCACCCTCACCACCACCCAGCAAGCCAGCCAGCATCTCCGGCAGCAGCAAGCAAACAGATGTCTGAGAAAATGCCCACTTCACTGGCCGTTCTGCCAAAACCCTGCAGGCCTCGGCGCCAGCTCCTTCCAGGGAAGCACCAATATTCAGTACCCCCCCCCCCCCCCCCCAACCCTTTCCATTTACCAGGATGCTTTAAATGCAATCAAAAACACCAAACAACCCGGAAACATCTTAAGATTGCAGCGAAACATTTGGGTGTCGGAGAGTGATAAAAATGTAGAGAGAAGGCAGGACGGACACACTACGCTCCTCCCATTGGGAGTGTGGAAATCTGGAAATAAAGAATGTTTTTGAGAGGACGAAGAGGCGGGGAGAACTATGAGGCAGGACATACTTACTGCTAATCTCAGCTTGTTTTTTTTCTTATGTGGTCAAAAGCTGAGATTGTGACTCCTCCAGGGGAAAAAAAGCAAGTTTTTGTGGATTAAAATCATAAATATCCATCCTCGTTTTAAGGAAGTTTACATCTTAAAATGCTTGGGCTGCAGTATGAAAAAAAGGGTATCGAACAAAAGAGACAGTCTGAAGAATTAAGAATTAAAATCCACCTGAAAACCCACATTTATCATGATTTCTTTTGCAAAATAAAAATAATAACATAACAAAAAATAATAATACTTCATAATAATAAAACTTTATAATGAGATGCCAGTTATTACATAGTAAATAATTCAATTATGTTAAAGCTGTCACCTTATTAAAAATTATAAACTGTTCAAATGCAACAAATGATAATAGACAAGCTAGCTTTATTTATACAGCACATTTCCCATATGTTTTTCCATTTCTTGCAAATTACCAAAGTATTACAACAGATTTTATTTTATTTATTTTTAGGAATTTGAAAACAAAAAAATTAAAATAATTTTAAAAATCAAATCTTTAATAATGGAAGTCTTACTTTAAAATTACCTTGAAAAATATGTTAAACGTTTTATTAACAACTGAGTAGTGTCATAAAATTCATGGTACGCTAAATTGTGTGACCAAAACATTTTTGTAATTATGTCAAACATTTTACTATTTGACATCAGATTTAAGCAGTTTTTCATACTGAGAAAAAATAAATAAAAACAAAAATTTCTAAAACAAGATCTTGAATGATTTTTACAAAACTTACTATTTGGTAAAAAAAAAGAGTTTTACAAATGATGGTAAATAGGCCTAATATTTGTGCCCTACTTAATTAAAAAAATTTACTTCTCAGTCTTATTAAAAATATTATTCATCCAAATGTAAATAGTTTTAGATTCATCTCAATTATCCCAAATATTTAATTTGTCTAATGAAATGGTCCTTCATAACAGTCTAAAGATATTTGACTTCAGATGAACATGAAAGAAAATTAAGTAAACTCTGCATTTCTTAGGTGTGTATTATATGAGTCATGTTCCTGCACTGGTTATGTCTTTGTTTTATTAAATTCCCCTTTTTCTACTTCTTTCCATGAAATGTTTAAAGAAATATTTCCTTGTTTTGACACGTTTATGTGTAACATTATGTATTTATATGAGGTCAGGTAAATAACATTAGATGCATGTAGTTGAACCTACCCCCCCCCCCCCCCCCCCCCCCCCA